GACACCGGGCGAAGCCGGTGGCCAGGGTTTCCCTCAGGAGCCCTTCCCGCCTTCGGGGAGCCCGGCCGCCCCGCTCTGGAAAGTGGCTCCGAAGGGGAGAAAGTTTCATCAGGAGCGGGAAGACTCGGAGCCCAGCAGCAGGGCCATGCTGAAGGGGGCCCGATTTGCGTTTTCTGCCGGTAAGGAGAAGCTGCGGGCGTCGATGGCCCCCGGGAAGCCGCTGGGCCAGAGGAGGTGTCCGCAGAGAGCCGGGCCCGCGTCTGATGCCACCGGTGGGGAGGAGAGGAAGGGGATCAACGTGGGGTACGGAGGAAACCCCAGGCCCACGACTGCCAGTGCTGTCTCTGTGTTTTCCCAGGGTCGGCTGTCACCCGGGCTCTGGCGTGGTAGGGAGCGCAGAATCTTAACCTGGTGCTGAACCCGGGGGTGGGCAGTTAACTGGCCCCATCAAAGCTGGGCGCTACCTGCTGTCTGGAGATTCCAGGCAAGGGTAGAAGCGAGGAAGGAAGCCGAAAGCAAGGACCTCCGAGCTCGCGTAGAACACGATCTGATCATGCAGGGCGTGGCCTTGTGATGCCCAGGAGCTCCCGTTCCCCGGGGACCGGAACGATGGATGTTCCGGGATGCCGCTGCCCCTTCTCACGCTTCCTTCTCCGTGCCCAGCATCGAGTTATCCTCTGAAAGCAAGAACCATCCAGATCATTCTCCAAGGACACAGCTTGGAAAACTGGGGGCTCAACCGCACTGTTTCTACTCTTTCACAGGTACGTTGGCGTATCTGCTGTACGCAGAGTTGGGGATGGCAATGAAGAAGATAGATTTGGATCCTTTGTGGAACATATTTAAGCGTCCATGGGGCCTCACTCTGCTCCACTATGCTTCTCCGTCACTGTTTACTTAATGTTTCTTTATATTTTGTTTTAGTTTTTGTTTGAGACAGGGTCTCCCTATGCAGTTGAGACTGACCTGGAACTCACTATGTAGCCCATGTTGCTTTCGAACTCACAGTGATCCTCCTGCCTCAGCCTCCCGAGTGCTGGGATTACAGGCGTGTGCCACCACGCCCGGCTATATTTTGTTTTCTATTACTTTGTTAGCTGCTCACATTAGTGGTCTTCCTCCCCTTGGTGGGGCCAGGGACCCCATGTCTGTGACTCACCTGTGTACAGGCGTGAGCGGAAGGTGAGTGTGCAATTTTGCTGGTCGAAGGGGAAGTAGAAGATGTCCAGGTCGCAGAGACTGGCCACCTTCATGGGTTTCTTATACCTGATGCGACCTTCATTACTTACAAACGCTGTGAGGTCTCTGGGGGTTTCCGCCTCCTCCGAGCTACAGGAGAGAGGAAGTGGGAGGCTGGTGCTGTTATTTTTCTTACTGGGGGGGTTGTTTCTTTGCCATCTAAGACCACTTCTACCCTACTGGTACTAGGAGATGAGGTTTCCCTCTGGTTCTCCACAGCCCTTAATACGCACAACTCAGCGATGAAAACATCTGGGAGCCACAGGTTCCTGGCCGACACGGTCCCCCCGTGATACCCTCACACTCCTTGGGGCTCGAGCAGATCAGGGGTTGTCCTAGACCTAGAGCCCTGGGGGTAGACAGGCGAGAGTTCGAGACACATCAGGGTTGTTTTCTCCTGCCCTTTGCCTTTTCTTTTCTTTAGAAGTCATGAATATTTCAAGAAAATGGAAAAGTCCATAAAATAACCTAATAAACATCTGTGAAACTACCACCCAAACTTTGTGGAGTCTCAATATTTTGATATATTTGCTCTTTCTTCCAAGAAATCAGAATAACTAAAATTTAACCTCTCTGGGGCTGGGGATTTAGCTCAGTGGTTCTGCCGCCTGCTTCTCAAGCGTAAGGCCCCAAGTTCAATCCCTGGTACCAAACAAAACAAAACCAAACGAAAACAAAACATTCAACCTCTCTGTATGTATTTCTTGATAGAACGTGATGTCTCTGCTAGGGCTGGGGGTGTGGCTCAGCCGAAGGGCACTTGCCTGGCACACACAAGGCTGTGGGTCCAGTCCTCAGCACCACAAAACAAAACAAACCCACGAATCCGGTCCCTTTGCTTTAGCACTTCAGTGGGAAATCACTGACAACCGAGGACGACCACTCCTTTTTGCAGTAGGAATGAGAGTCGGAGCCGAACAATCTGTAACTCAGCCTCTCTCAGCTGGAAATTCCTTAATGTGAAATGAGAGTGGCGTGGGTGTCAGATGGGATCGAGTGCGTGGAGGATCGTGCAAACTGTAGAGTTTGGGGCGGTCTAGCAAAGTCTTAAGTGTCTTCCGAGGGCCTTCCACCACCCTTTATAGAAAGGAGACTTTGAACAAGCCTTTGGTTCTTGGAAAAAAAGAGTCCAAAAGAGTCCTAGGGTTCTCCTTTCCATGCCTGGCTACCCTCTCTGAAAAGTGTTAGCAAGGATTGTCAGCAGGCTGGGACAGCTGGTCACCTAGGCAGAGCCTGAGATCCAGTACATTTCTTAGGGCTCGAACCCAGGGATTATTTTGTTTATTTGTTTTTTGAGACAGGGTCTCACTCTGTCATTCAGGCAGGCCTTGAACTCACTGTGTAGCCCAGGCTGGCCTCAAATGTGTGGTGATTCTCCTGCGTCAGCCTCCCAAGTGCTAGGATTGCAGGGGTGCGCCATCATGCCTGGCTTTCCAGTGCATTTCTTTTCTTTTCTTTTTGTTTTTTGTTTTTGTTTTTGTTTTTTTGAGACAGGGTCTCACCATGTAGTTCAGACTGCTCTGGAACTCACTATGTAGCCCAGGCTGGTCTCAAACTCACTGCGATCCTCCTGTGTCAGCCTCCTGAGTGCTGGGATGACAGGCGTGCGCCACCACGCCCGGCTTCCAGTGCGTTTTCTAACAGTGCTTTTCCAGGTGGCACAATGGGCCAGTGCTGTCGAATTCGGAAATGAGAGTTTGGGATTGTTACCATCTTTCCCAGCTTCTTCCTTCCCTCCACTCAGGCTTTTCAAGTTGGAAATTTAATTAATTTAGCTTCATTTTCCACCCTCCCACTTTGTTTTTTAATCCATTCCCTTAAAATGTAAAATTTCCATTGAGTCATGCACTGGCTACATTCCATAGGTTTTTATACGTAGTGCTGTTCATTTCTAAATAGTGCAAAACTTCTATTGAGTTGTTTTATTTTCTCCTTGGTGCAAAGCATTTGGAAGTTTAATTTTAAATTCTTAAGACACAAGGTTTTCTTGGTTGGGCAACTGTCCTTTTGCAGTTTGTTTCTCTTGGCTTATAGTCAGAGAATGTGATCTAGATAACTTTTTTCAACTTTTTTCTTCCATTTTTGTGGCTTTTGTTTGTTTTGTTTTGCTTTGTGCGACAGAATCTCACTACGTAGCCTAAGGTGGCCTCAAACTCATGATCCTCCTGCCTCAGCCTCCTCAGTAGTTGGGTTTACAGGTTTGTACCACTGTGCCAAGCCCTATTTGATTTTTAAAAGCAACATGGAAGCTTGTCACCGTTACTACAGGTTTTTCAGTTTCTCCTTCCTGTGTTCCAAAACTATATTGTTGGGTGCGTAAAAGGTCACAGTTACTGTATCCTTGTTTACAGTCTTTTCCAAGTCCACTGACGGGAGAGAATAAAGTGTTGACCATACCATTTCCAGCTGCAGGAATGAGGTCACGAGCTGCAGCTGTTCATCCTGCCAAAAAAATTTCCTGCTTTTACCAAGCTGCCTGTAACATGTGTATTGACTCCCCACCCTACACTACTCCCTATTTTTGTTTATTAATCCCCCAGGAATATAAAGGCAATGCTATGATCAAGGCCAATCTATCTATCTATCTATATATAATCACATATAATACATATAATACAGGTATATGTATATATTATATACATGTATTTTTTTGAGGCAGGGTCTTGCTACGTAGTTCATCCTGGCCTTGAGCTCACTGTGTAGCCCAGGCTGGCCTCCAGTTTGCAGTGATCCTCCTGCCTCAGCCTCCGGAGTGCTGGGATGACGGGCATGTGCCACCACGCCTGGCAAGGCCAATATTACAAGTCAAGGACAAAAAAGCTTGATAAACATAAATCTATTAGGCTGTGGGCAGGAAAGTCCCTGGCTGACTAGAGTAAGGTAGTGTTTTTTAAGCCTTGGCCCATCTTGGAATAAACTGAGGAGCCAAAAAATATGGAGATCTGGACCTGCGGGGAGGGTGGTGGACCCCAGACACTGGGTGAGGAGAAGACATTCTCCTCCTCATGCTGCTGGGTCTCAGCCTGATGAGGGAGGGGCAGAGTTTTTGTTGTTGTTGCGTTGTGTTGTGTTTCGTTTTGTTTTGAGATTCTCTCTGCAAGCGAGAAGCCACATAACAGCGGGTGAAAGGCTTTGGGTTTAGTTTGCCAGAGGCTGGGAAAACATGAAGGACACCAAGGGGGACGGAAGGGTCACCGTCACTCAGCACATCTAGGATGGCACTTACCGTGAAGGAGATGTTGGCTGGGACAGGGACGGCGAGGCTGATGTCGGGGTGGAAGGGCCTCTCCGTTCAGCACTGAGTCCACAACAGCTGGCTCTGCCCCATGCTGGCCCAACCCCGAGCGGTGGACGGTGACAGAACGGCCTTGCCCTGCGGTGGTGGACCGCCGGCGTGTGAGGGCACAGGCGGCTAAGCTAGCCAGCAGTACAGAGTCAGAGAGGGACGGGGTCCTCAAGAAAGAAAGACGCCTGAATTGTGGCTGAGGGCTCATCTGCGGAAGGCCAGGCCTGGAGATGGAGAAGCAGGGGCCAGGCTTGCACGCCTCCCTCAGGGATGAAGCAATGTTAACTAAGGGCTGTACTTGTGAACCTGCGGGTTGAGGGTAGTTTGACCCACACTACACACACTGTGACTTTGCTGTATAAATGACCCCTCGGTGGCCGCACCACTGGGAACCCTTCCTAGAAATCCAGGAGCTCTTCTTCTCCTTACTTCCAATAAAGCTCTCCTGACTTGTTGCTTTGGCTTGCAGGTTCCCTCCTTGGTGCCGTGAGACCTCAGACTCGGCGCATTTGCCGTTGAGCGGGTCCGGAGTGACGTTTCTCCTCTTCACACGGCAGGGCCCGGGACGAGCTCCGGTTGGGCGCGTTGAGCGCTTTAAACAGATGACTTCCTTTCACCCTCCCAACCCCCTGTTAGAGGTGGTTTAAAAACATAACTTTATAACGTGTTCTATTTCCAATTTTTATATGTCAGTGCTACACGTACCTGCAGTTGCTTTTTAAAAACAATACTTTAAGAAATATTTAACTGATTCTTATCGGATTGAACGTGACACTTTAATACTTGTATACATGTGATGATCGGGTCGGGGTAAAGGCATATCTGTCGCTCCAGACATTCATTATTGCTTCTTCATGTTGGGAACGTTCAAAATCCTCTCCACTGGCTATTACGAATATACAACTAATTGTTATCTTACTGGGCTACAGAACATTAGAAGTCATCCCTCTGGAGCCGTTGCGTCCCATCCCCATTAACCACCCTCTCGGTCCCTCCTCCACCTCCTCTCAGCCCTGGTAACCAGTACTCCGTCCCCTACCTCATGAGAAGGTAAACACTATTTTTATTCTCACATAATAAATGAGTTCACACCAGGTGCCAGAGGAGGTAACTTCCCAAGGCCAGAGAGAAAGAGGTGGAGGCTGGGCCTGGTGTGCGTTGGGTTTGTCTGCAACCGGGCTGTTTTTGCCCCATGAGGAGACCAATGCAGGAGGGGCTGCTGGGTGAGGCCCAGGCACTGGGCACTTTCTGCTAGGGCCAAGGGGATGGGCCGGGCTGGAAGGCAAATAACAGAAACTCTGGTGAGCTGAGTGAGGCCATCGGCCGAATACTTCCTCTCTGGGCTTTGGATGCCCAAATTCGTATGCAAACCGAGCCCTGGGGCAGTGACGGGCGTCAGATGGGGTCAGAGTCCCAGAACCCCAAAGAGGACACATCTGTTTTCACCCGGACTGACCCTACCTTCCGGCTTCCCTTCTTTGCTGCTCAAACCTCCTATCAGCTTTCTCAAGGTTTTTGAGGTACTGCCTGCTCCCCGGCTCTGAAGAATAAAGGTTCCAATATTTCTACCATCAGGAGCTTGTTAGAGGAGCGACAACCTGGACAACCTGAGAGAGATGGCTGGTCCCTGCCAAGGACACCGGGCCTTATCCACTCCCAAAGTCACCGGGCTCTCCATTCGGACAGATCCACACGTCTTCCGTGAGCAGCAGATACTTGCCACTCAGTCTCTGCGAGTGCCAGAGAAGCATTGTGTCCCTAGTTCCTAGGCCAGGTGTCCCTGTGGTGACCTTCCAGGCCACCTTTGGTTTAGCCGCCCTCTGTGCTCCCTTATCAAGAAGTCATGAGATCCCCTAAGGGCAGGGACACCTATCAAAAGCAGGCGCTGGAGCCGCACGCCTGTGATCCCAGCACTTGGGAGGCTGAGGCAGGAGGATCGCTGTGAGTTCCAGACCAGCCTGGGCTACATAGTGAGTTCCAGCTCAGTCTCAACTACACAGTTGAGACCCCTGTCTCAAAAAAACAAAACAAAATTTTAAAAAAGCAAGCACCAGGTGACACCCGCCCCCCAGTTGAATCTCCACGACCCTGCAGGGTGAGTCCTATTTTACATAGGAGAAACAGGCTTGGAGAGTTAAGACACTCACTGAGGTCCCGTGCCTAGCAAAGTGAAGGACCAAGATTCCAACCCGGATCCTTCTGTCTCCAAATCCCAAATTCTTTCTACTATACCGTGTTACCTTGCCCGAAGAGGAGCCCCCTCTGCCGTCACCCTCCGCACGCTGGCCCCTGGCATCTTACTCCAGAGCATCTGGATCTAGCAGGCCCACGGGACAGTTATAGCTAAAGTAGGTGGGCTCGTGGCTGCAGTGGGGCGGCCGTCACAGTGTAGGGAGAATTCCACGGCCGGGTGGAAAGGCAGACAGGCACAGGGGCTTAAGTGGCAGAGAAGACGCCTGTGGAGGACACGGGGCGGGGGAGAGCAGCGCTCTCATGCGAGGATTTCCTACTTTTCAGAAAAGGAAAGCCTTGAGCACCACGATAACACAGTACCATCATGAAACAACCCTGCCCCCCTCAGACAATCTCTAGGACTTGGAAATTTGAAGAAATTACTCGGTGACCTATCGGAGGGACTCCGTCCCCTGTCGTTGCGCCCTTCTTACTTTGAAGCAGAAGACGGAGAACAAGGTAGAAGGGAAGTCTCTCCCTGCGGAGCAGGCTTCCCCACCTTCTCTTTCTAAATTATCTCTGTGCCTGTACCAGGGCCAGGGTTGAAGGCACACGGGCCACACCCGGAGCCCGACTTCCAATTCTCATGGGCTGGCTGACCGCTGACAGTTGTGGCCTCTCAGAAACCTCTCGGAAAGGAGTGTCCTCGGAGTCTGGTTCTTGCCTCTGCTTGTGGGTCAATTTGCTCTTTTTAGACTTTCTTGGAGTCTTAGCTACTTCACTGTGGTGTGTTTGGTTACAGATGATGTGCGGTGATTGCTTTTTTTGTTGTTTTGTTTTTTGGGTTTTTTTTGGTACCGGAGATTGAACTCAGGGCCTTGTGCTTGTGAGGCAGGCAGCAGCACCACTGAGCTAAACCCCAGGCCTAAAATTTAGCTAAGGTTCTTTCTGTTTAATTTTCTTGTGGGGGGCCTGGGGATAGAATTTAGGACCTTGCAGTCGCAAGGCATGCAGTGATCATTTTAAAACTGTGGTCTGATTCCTGCTGAACATTGACCTCTGAAGTTACTGAAAATTTCTAGCCATCAAAAAATATTGTGTTTCTGCTGGGCATTGTGGTGCACGCCTGTAATCCCAGCACTTGGGAGGGTGAGGCAGGAAGATCACTGTGAGTTCAAGACCAGCCTAGGCTACATAGTGAGTTCCAGGTCAGTCTCAACTACATAGTGAGACCCTGTCTCAAAAAACAAAACAAAACAAAAAATCGTATTTCTTCTCTTTCCCTTTACTAGACACAATTTCTTCTGTTTCACCTGCCTTTTAAAGATCACTGTGATCAAGACCAGCCTAGGCTACATAGTGAGTTCCAGGTCAGTCTCAACTACATAGTGAGACCCTGTCTCAAAAAACAAAACAAAACAAAAAATCGTATTTCTTCTCTTTCCCTTTACTAGACACAATTTCTTCTGTTTCACCTGCCTTTTAGTCTCTCATTATTAGTTACTGACTACAGTTGTAGCAAGTTACAAACTTTGTGGCTTAAAGAAATGCAAGTTATTATTTTGCAGTTCTATACACTAGAAGTCTGAAATGGTCGGCAAGGTTAAAATGAGTGCCATCAGATGTACTTCTGGTGGCTCTGGGGAGAATCCCTTTCCTATCCTCCCCTTTCCAAGCCCTTTAGGGCAGTGTGCATTTCTTAGTTCATTGTCTCATTCCTCGATCTTCAAAACACTTGCTTGTAAGTTTTAGTTTTGAAAATCCAAATTCACATGAGCGTAAATTACAAGAGTGCTCTAACTCTGTCCAATAGATAACAAAGAATAAATTAATTCTACCTTTTGCATTGTGCCTTTCAAATATTTCAGGACAATTAATGTATAATGGAGTAATACTTCAAAATATAAAACCTGGGCGGGGATTTAGCTCAGTGGTTCCACCACCTGCCTCGCAAGCACAAGGACCTGAGTTTGAGCTTCGGTACCAAAAAAAAGGAAACCAAAAAACTATTGAGTTGTAGCCCTCACATGTATACTCTTATCTCCCTATAAATCAGTTTCCTCTGTAACTCTTCTGCTACAACCTTGGAGGAGGGAAAATGCTACCCCCAGAAGGACATAACTTATAGAAAACTTCTGATGTGGTACACGGGGACGAAATCCTGCTCCTTCTGGCTCAACAGAATTTGGGACAAAGGACAGAAGAGAAAGAGGAAGGGAAAAAAAGTAGGTGATTATGTCAGTGTGTAACACAGCACACACTTTTGACTCTGGGCTTAAGTCTGAGCGTGTATGTGTGTGGGGGTAGGGGTTACATGTGGCAGGAGAAAGAGCCAGGCGAGGTGGTGCACACCTATAGTCCCAGCACTTGAGAGGCTGAGACAGAAAGATCAAGTTGGAGACCAGGTTGGTCAACATAGTGAGTTCAAGGCCAGCCTGAACTAAACACCAAGACTATCTCCTAAATAAATAAATAATAAGGAGGAGGCAGAGGAAGAGCAAAGCTAATGCAGGAGAGCAGGTTCCCTCACTACTCATTTAGCACCCTGGGAAAGGGATGCTGTTCTCTGTGACTGCAGATCAACATGCTGAGTGCTGAGGCAGAGAGAGGCCTGGGCTCGCACGCTGCACCTCCCTCTGTCCCGAAGATGTAGAAAGGCGCCTGCTATCTGCATGCCCTGCCTGGAAGGGGATGAAGGCTGCACTTAGGGCACACAGACCTGAAGCCACCCTGCAGCGAGGCTGTGCAGGGGACGGTGGGGGCCAGCATGAGTCCCTGCAGGAGGCAGCAGCTGTGGCTGCTAAGTGCAACTGATCCAGGGAGGGAAATCAGAGCCCAGAGTCACAGTGAGGTTTCCCCAGTGGCTGAGGTTAGGCAGCAGGTGTCAGCAGGGTGCCCAGTGACCAGGAGACAAGGGCCATCACCACCATGGGACAAGAGAACTGGGGGCCCCCAAGGACCTGCACGTGCCAAGAGAGGCCTCTACTTCACCACTACAAGCCTCCAAACACACCCAGCCTCATCCTGCTGCTTTGAGACTAACAAAAGGCTCTCATGTGTGACAGTTTCAACAGTTTTCGTGCCTAGCATCGAGCCTGACATACCCATTACTACTTAGAGGATCCAGGGCAGGCAAAGAGGTACTTCATCCAGCTGCTGAAAACAACGTGCACTGAAGTTTGCACACAACTTCAGTTTCACAGGCCATAGACCTCTTCTCAGCCTGGCGTGGTGGCGCACCCCTGTCATCCCAGCACTTGGGAGGCTGAGGCAGGAGGATCGCTGTGAGTTTGAGGCCAGCCTGGGCTACATAGTGTGATCCTTTTTCAAAAAGTGAAAACAAACAAAGAAAAAAAATGTAGAAGCAAATGGGGTTATTTAGGTGCATTTGTTGGACACAATGAACTAACAACCACTATGCTGTTTGTAAATTATGTGTTTGGGATTCTATTTAAGAGGCCTGATCAAGATTGAAGTGAAACCGTGTCAGCCTAATGTTTTTGAAGTCAATCCGTTTCTCCAATTTGAGGAATCAAGAAAATGTTTCACGTCATCATCAAATAAACCTTTTCTTTCCTCTGTGGTTTTGGGAACATGACTAACTCTCATCCTGAGAGGACATCTGAGGTCTTAACCTTTGCAGGAACTCGTTTGGATTTGGAGATGTAGGATCTTAAATTAGCTACACGCCTTCTTCCTCTCTCCTCATTTCTGTTGGCATTACCTTCTCTTGGTCATACCTCTTTTTGCATATTCCTCTCTAAACCACTGAATTGTTCTACTTGGTAGAAAAGGCAAGTATCTTTCCCCCAAGGATGATTCTTTCTCTGCACATATTCTGTCCTGCACAATACAGAGAGGAAAAGATTGAGAATCGGAAGGCGTGGATTCAAATCCTGTTTCCATCATGTGCCACTTCATTTTCGGGCAGTGTCTTCAGTCTGAGCCTTTCCCCACATCCGCAATGTGGGGACCAGTATATCTGCACAGGTTTTTGATGGTGATTAAAAGAGAGAACATTTGGAAACCAAGTTTAGCACCACACGGGCCATTTCCTAGGCACCAGTGTTTCCTACTTCTCTTCAGGGCTGCTCTCGGGCATCAGCTGATCCTGGCCCTTGGTCCGCCTGCCTGCACCATTCTTACAAGTTCGTATTTCTGTCCCTGTCTGCGAGTCTCCGTGTCTCTCTTTTGGGTGAAGCCACAGTGCTTTTCCTGCTTGTAAAGCATAGGAGGTGTAGTGTACAGAGCCCAAGAGAGTTCTCCTGGCCTACTAGTGTTAGATTTGGGGGAAAATGTTTTGCTTCAAAATATCAAAAGAAAACTACAAAATAAAAAATTAATAAATATTTGTTTAAATGTCAAAAAATGTAAACAAGCATTAGCCAATTCGACACTGGCATAGTTAGCAATAGGCCTCCAAGTCTTAATCCATAGTTCTGCAGGTCAGAGAGTTCTGAAAATGAAATTATTCCCCCTCTTCTTCCTTTTCCTCTTCCTCTTTTTCCCTCTTATCCCCTTCTTCTCCTTCTCCTTCTTCTTTTGGTACCAGGGATCGAACATGGGACCTTGTGCTTGTGAGGCAGGTGGAGGACTTCTCCTCTTCCTCCCCCTCCCCCCTCCCCCTCCTCTTCTCCC